AGGAATTGGATTAGAAGTTAGTTTTGGAAATACTAAACTTTTATAATCTTATTCCCCCCGCACAAAATGTGCAGCGGGGGTCATGAAAATAGCTTTGAGAGAAAACGTGAATTGCGAAGGGTTATTTTTTTTACCTTGGTCATTTTGTGTAGCTAATTATCTTTCTGCTTAACATTTTTCCTTCTCAGATTCCTGAAAGATATGAGATATGAGACGGTGATGAAATCTGAAAAAAATTGTTAAATAAGATTTTCTAGAACTGTAACTTAAATTTAAGAATTTCAATAAGTTTTGTAAGAGTTGCCGCATGTCTTTAAATTTTAGAATTTTAAAATCTTATCCAAGGTGATTAAGAGCTTAGTCTTCGAATTGTTTAAATTCTGGTGGGAAACACTATAAAGTATTTTATGTTAATTAATATTGATGATTTAAACCCTTACTATAACTTTTACTTTCAGTAGTCCTCAGCATAATACAGATTGACTGTTTGTGTATTTAAGCTGAAGGTTTGAATGCATAAATAAGAGCTTCTCGAGTCCTGCTGCTTAACAATGCCAGCTCTGTTTTTTAACGCTATCTTTGTTAACTATCTTGGACCAACTCTTAAGTATTTTATTCTGTATTGTAGTCTCATTTGAATTTTATTTTATTTGATATTAGTTTAAATACCCGCAAACAATGGAGGTTTGTCTGCATTTATGCTCATTTGAGAGTTAAATAAAAAGGTTATTTTAATGTTCTTACGTCTTGGTCATTTGTTTAAGGCTAAGTGAGTTATCACTTCCAGTCTAGTAGGGTTTGAAAGACATTAACACAAGCTTTTAGATATAACCAATCACTACAAATATTTTATTATCAAAGCACATTTACAGATGTAGCCAGTTATCAATAAAAAACATAAAATTTTATAAAGCTTAGTAAGATGATTTACGATAGCCCAGTACTCGAATTTCAATGGTACTTAGGGTAGGTACTTTCGCATTTTTTGCCTAAGTTTTAAATGCCTTGAGTTAAATGCTTACAGAATATGCTTAGAGAATATGAACAGAACATGCTTAGAGATAGTACAGAACATGATTAGCGAAACTAGTTAACTGTATGGATGTATACAGAACATGCTTAGAGAAACTAGTTGACTGTATGGATGAATGGATGTATTCATTCTATTCAGTCGTACAGCCATGCAAACAAATCTTCAGTGTTCAAGTGTCTTATTCACTAAACCACTTCTGGGCTAAATTTATGTTAAATAGACATATAAATGTCAGAAAATAAACAGAACGTGATGTTATTCTTAGCGAAAAATAATTTCAGTCATATTTTATTTCTCTAATTATGAGTTGAGGCCCTGAAGGTAAAAGCTTTTCTAAAACAAATTATCTTAGATACCGAATAAAGTTAATATAAAAAAAGACTATAATATGATAACTTTACATTCTATTTTAAGAAAGAAATGGATATTCGCTTTTCGAATAATCTAATGTTTTTGTAGCATCTTATAAAACCTCTGCAATAAATTAAGAAGTATATATCAGAGAAACACATAAAAATGTGCGCTGTTTATTTCTTAAAATCGTAAAATTTTTCGGTTATTTTTTATTAATCCATTTGTTGAGGTAGTGATAACGTTATATGCAATGAGAATGACGGAGAATATTATTTTCATAGAATCAGATAGTCACTATGTTCCTTGGAATTATTATATTTCTTAGCCTAAAACTATAAAAACAATTTATTAGAAATTTTCTAAATTGTTATCATATGTTCCTAATACGTTTCTCAAATTTAAAAATACGCTGAAATAAATGAATGTATGGAGCACTTCAAAATTCCTTTTATGTTAATAAAATTTGCTGGTCGATTTAAGAAACTCAACTAAAAATCTTTAGATTGGTCATTCGTTTATGCTGTAAAACATTTCTGAAAAATTATTTTTTTAATAATTCGTAATAATTCGAATATGAATGAAAATAAGATTTTCTCAAAATTGCTAGTATTCGTTTTAAACAAAATAATGTTTTTTTCTTCAGAAGTTTTAAATTAAATTCTTCGCTCCGTCCATGATACATACTGATGGCTTATTATTGTTTTCCATTCCAATCCTAATCGAAATCATACAATTAACTCCTATTCCTGGAACAGAATCTATTCTGTAATATACTTGGTGAAAGCAATCGGAAATGTCTATTATATTAACAGATTAATTCTCAGGGGCATGGCATTAATGATAGAGATCACAACTGCGCGAAATTATGCTGTTGTAATGCATGGCCACACAAATATAGTTTTGACAACTAGATATCGTGCGATAATGAGAATCTCCACCGATTTTAATCATACACTGTTGGTTAAATGTTATTTTCAGGATTTTGCCTTCAACGTCTTAGAGAATTTAATAACAAACAATAACAGAAGTAACACCGTTGATGTGAAAAGAATTAAGTGAATCTTTTCCTCTGTTTTATTATTTTTTGTATGTTTGAAACCTACATGATGATTTTAAATCATTGATTGGATTTAAGATATGAATAATTAATCAGGTATGCGCAATTAATATTAAGAGTATATTAGTGAATACACAAAATTAAAGATGAAATTTCAGAATTTTAGAATGTCATGCAATATTAATAGCTTCTTTCAGTAAGTGTTTCTGTTGCATTAAACTAATCGCTATAGATATGAGAAAATAGCTTTCCAGCTAATATCCCGAATTACAGGATCTGAAATCATAGAAGTTTTCCTTTTAAGCGTAATTTAAGGATATGTGTTGTCCTTTGCTGACACTATCCACCAATCAACATTATCTCAAAAATCACACTGGTGTTGCTATAGAGATTATAGCAAATTATAGACTAGAATACATACATACATACGATAGGACTATGATTATTGTTCTTTGACGTTTGTTTGACTGAAAAAGAGTCACACAAAGCTCTTCTAGATACTTTTCTCTGATTTTATGGTTATCCAAATTAAACTTCCCCAACTCAGAGGCCTGTGCAGAGTGTTGTATGGGTCATAAAGTGATGACATTTTAAAAACCGACACTTCAGATCATGCGCTCGAGATTTATTAAACAAAAAACAAAACAAAAAAAAAAAAAAAAAAAAAAAAAAAAACAGTACAAGAAGTTGCCGATAGGTGGCACTGCAGATCAACAAGACATTCTACAGATGTTTTGTATGTGTGCCGTGGTTCTCCACAACTCTTTCCATTCGCAAAGGTTAATTCGCTCAATTAATTCCACGAACATGTCGAATAATTGCGTCTCTCAGATGTGCCAAGGTTGCTGAGTGTTCTCGGTAGACCCGATCCTTTAAGAATCCCCATAACCAAAAGTCGCATGGCGTGAGATCAGGTGAGCGTGGAGGCCAAGCTGTAGGAAAACAGCGGCTCATAACACGTGCGTCGGTAAAAGTTGCCCGTAACACCTGTTCAACGCCACGAAGAATATGAGGAGGTACACCATCCTGCATAAACATCGTGTCCTGGAGGTGGCCATGGTGTTGCAGTTCAGGGATCACAAACGTTGTCAACATGTTCTGATACTGTTTTCCTGTGACAGAGCAGGTTTTGAACCCTGTTGGAGTCACCTCTTCAAAAAATAAGGCCCTCTGACGAATGTTGCAGTGAAACCGCACCATACAGTAACCTTTGGAGGGTTCAAGGGCACTTGATGGATTGCGCGCGGGTTTTCACTTGCCCAAATGCTGCAGTTGTGCGTATTCACTTGACCATTCAGGTGAAAATGGGCCTCATCCGTCCAAAGGATGTTCCACGGCCAAGCAGCATCGACTTCCATTTTGGCAAGGAACTGCAACGCAAAGTTTCCCGAACTACAGGATCCCCGTCGAACGGCTAATGATGACTATGGATTTTGTAAGGGAAATAACCGAGGATTCGACGCATCGCACGCCAGACGGTCGTATAGGGCATATCAACAGCACGAGAAACAGTTAGCACACTGACAACACCATTTGGCGATTGGCTAGTGGGGTCCAAGACCGCCAAAGCAACGTCTTCTACGCGTGCAGATTCCACAATCTGTCGTCCTCTACCTGGTAAAATTTCCAACTGTCGCTCGTTCTTTCGAACTTCTTCATCACGTCTCGTAGAGCGCGTGGTGTCATTGGTCCTCGGCGTAAGATCTTCAGCCGACGGAATGCTCTTATCGCGCAGCACAGGAGTTCTCGTCATTCTGGTAGAAAAGTTTCACTAACAGAGCTTTGTCTTTCAAAGTCGCCATTGTGCATCAGCGAGCTGGAAACAACTGCCTGTTCAAGGCCTGTCTTCCACTTTTGTAGGCTCGTCTTTTGGATACGTTGCGCAGAAGCTTTATTTCTGCAAATCACGTTGCTGCAATATGCACATTACTAGTGTTACTCGCGCCACCTATCGGTTAACTATACCAGTAAGTAGACTAATTTTTTTGTGTAATAAATCTCGAGCGCATGATCTGAACTGTCCGTTTTTAAAATTTCATCACATTATGATCCATGCAACACTCTGCACAGGCCTCTGAGTTGGGGAAGTTTAATTTGGATAACTCTGTATTACTCGATTTCAGAATTTCAGATTTTATATCAGTTTTAAGAAATAAAATCACATAAAATCGGATAAACCAATTATGAAACACATTTTCACCTCTACTTTAATTGCTGTCTTCTTGATTGCTTCAAGCGTAGTGTATAAACAATGAATCTCTGATAGAAATTTTGTCGTGAAAGGCATTAATTCTGGAAGTTGAGAGATTCATGGGCATTGGTTCAGTTTAATAACCTTCCAAAAACAAATATCATAATAGGGTTCGATCTCTATAACGGACAGCTACATACATCTTCCCTACCACAAGTTTTCCTTATCATAACTAGCAGTTCGATGCAAGTCGGGTTCTGCTTTCCAAGACAGAAATTTTTATTAATTGAATTACCAACAATATGCAGTGTTTGTAATGAGTAATGCATTCTTTTAATCAGTGCAAAATTATATTTTTATCTCACCTGGAAAACATCGTACTTCTGGATAAAGAGGAAAGGGATGGAAACCGCCATTGAAACTAGCCAGATGATGCTGATAACCACGCTCGTCCTCTGTTTGGTGATACGCACGTGCAGCGGGAAAATGATGGCAATGAATCGGTCGCACGAAATGGCTGATAAAGTCAACACACTCGAAGTTAAGCAAGTCACTGCAAATAAAAGAAAACGATTGCATTAGTAATAAGCAGCTTTAGAAGATCATACTTTCAGGTCAGATTAATAAAACCAAAGCATATAGAAACATGAAAAAAAAATCTAATTCAAATGTATTCTCGAGATATAATTTCAAGGATCGCGTATTTCATTTAATTAGATGCTTCAGTAATTTACTCCCTAATATGGTGGTTTCACGGATAATCATTAAAGTTAAGGAATCTTTAATTAAACTAAGTAGCTATTAAGTCAAGAAACTCAGCTCATTCAAACATTTTTAATCATCTAGTGAAAAAAATTAGAAAAAAAATCCAGGAAAAAGTGTAAAAGTATCACGTACGTTGTGTGACTTATTCACTTGTCTGACAGTAGCATCAGGACAAGCTCGTGAAATTCACTGTGGCAAGGAGAGCAAGACTGCGCCTATCGTTGGCAAGCCTTGAGATCCAAACAGGTAACAGCTCACTTCCGTCCCCAATTTTGAGGGAACGCACCTCGGGGGGACGAGTCAGAGAATCTCTCACCCCTTTTTTCCTACTAACAAACTCTCGAGAGGACTTTCGGCTCGCCTCATATTTAGAGTGCCCTCATGCCGACAGACACTTTAAATACGCTTTCTCCGGGATTCGAACACGGGCCGTTCGGTATCGCAGTAAGCTCTCCTAACCACTATACCGTGTGGGCGGCTCTTCAGATCCCGTACGTAATATTTGTAATTGCATAATACAACTCAATTTGTCATTTCGGATGAATACATTTTATGAACTATATTTAAAACAAATGCTAATTATAAAAGATTTATAATTCAAAAATGCTTTTCGCAAAATGCTTTTTATCCCATTTCTGAATATAAAAATTTTCTAATAATTAGTCTGTAACGCTGCGCGCCTCCAACCTGCACGCAACAAAATGGTGACTGCTGAAACTGGAAATTAGACAGAGTCTTGAGAAGGGTTTAAGTCCCTTTTTATTCAACTTTAGAAATTACAAATGCGTGCTCTTGACGCTCACAAACTACGCCGACCCGGCGGTAAAAAAAAAAAAAAATAAGAAACTAAAAATGAATAATAACAAGTTACTACCTACGAGGCTCTCTAAACGTAACTAACCTCACCGCGTTCTAAAGTACCGCTGATAATTCAGCAAACTCTGAATATTACGTTGAAAGATTAACAATTTGCCTAGGCAAGCACACAGGCCGAAACGCGTGGTTCTTCAATTTCTGACTAACTACCTCCGCGCTCGTGAAGTAAGAAAAGCACACTTTGAACTCGTTTCCTTTCTATTTAACTCAGAATACTTCCGCTGATAATTTGAATCCTTGCGCGTTCTACTAAAATTTACATACTCTGGCATTGGCAGTTCCAGGGGAAAGTAAGGCTTGACAGGAAAGATAGTTTAAACTTAAAATAAATGTTAGTTAAAATAAATATAAACCCTACAAGTCCAAAGGGGCTTTGTCCTCGAAGGACTACTGTTTTTGTTTTGCGTTGAATCACTCTAAATGTCCGTTCGCCTTTCAAACTGTTGCTACCAAATGTTAGAGTTCTGCATTATATTTGAAAAAATTAAATAATGAAACATCCGCATAAATGTACATATATTTCTCGCATTGTGAACGGTACATAGAGCCATCGAATTTTGAATGACGTAATCCTTTTATGAATATGGACATGTGGAAGACCAAATTTGAAATTTGGAAATTGTTTTATTATCGATTTCATATTTTGTAAACCTTTAACGAATTTTTGATTAACAAACTCAAGAATTTCAAAGCGAACAATGGCAACATTCTACGGAAAAGTAAAACCTTTTTATCTCCAGGGCGCGGAACTGTTAATCGGAAATTCTAAAGATAGGATCATTTTAAAATTATTTTGCGACATTCCTATTGAACTGAACCATGGTTTAAGTGCACAGAACATGATATTTAATAAATAAAGATAACACATTAAACGCTAAAAAAAGGCCCCTTTAGATGTAATTTAAAATCTGAAACCGTTCAGATTTTTTTTTTTTTTTTTTGATTTATAATCATTTGTTTCTCAAGCTGGAAACTAACTACATATTTTGTGTAGATTTAACAAGAAGTGAATGATAAGAGCTCTCAGAGACTTATCCATTACGGATATGGTAAGTTTGTTCTGTATGGACCATTCTGTTATTTCTCTTCTACGGGAAGTTTTTAAACGCGAGAAAAGTCATCTGAAGATATACAGTTTACGACTCTAGAGTCTTAAGACTAAGTTCGAGCAAAATCAAAGCCGATGTAAACAACCTTATTACATCTGTCTTTCATTATACAGTTCTTGTTAAGTTTATACAACGTTTGTCATTTTTAGACAGCTCCTTGAAGAATTCATCTTTTGGAATACTGTTTAAGTCTGTTCTAGAATTTCTTTAATGCTATCATAACAACCACCTTTGAAGTGAGACATCAGTTCAAGGAACAGAAAGTATTCCTATAGGTGCTAAATCTGAGGATTATGAAGAACTCCGGAGTATTATGACACTTTTCTTAAATAGAAACTCTTGAGGAAAATGGAGTCTGTGATTGTCGTATTACAGAAACCAGTTGTTCGATTAAGCCCTTTCAGGCCACACAAAATTCTTTCCAGAAATCTGCCCATCGCAGTTTTCTAAAATATGGAGTTCATGTTTCTCGGGCACAAACTAGTTGCGAATTATCGCTTTCTAATAAAAAAAGGATTTATAGATATTTCGGAAACTGAAGTTCTTCCAGACCTAGGGAATTCTCTCCAACGTAAGCAAAGGACTACTCTTTTGTTCCAGAACCATAAGCAAAGATCAAATTTTATCTACTATAATAATTTATATGAACAAAATCAGGACAAATGTTTGCCATTTGGATCGAATCGTGATGTGCAGTAATTTTACATTCTTTTTTTTCTACTTTCTTAATTTCGTTTCTACTATCAGTGAATGAGGGACAAAAAGAACAAAATTTTCCTTTTTCAAGATCTTACAGAATAATTTTTTGAACAGTATCTTACTGAGTTCTGCTGCGATTCAAAGACACAAGTGAAGATTCTTTCAATATTTGCCAAGCTTTTTTAAATTTTTATTCGCTTGAGACTGCAAAGACCGATAATCCTGGATTCATTATCAACATCTTCGCATTCATTATGAAATCGTCTGTAGCAAAGAAGATTGTATTTTAATGCTATATCTATGTGGGCTTTACACAACATTTCAAATATCAACATTTCTGCTTTCCTCGCTTTCCAGCAAAATATTATTGCTGTTATTTACTCTGTTTTCGAATTCATGGAAACAAAAGATCACTGGATCAAAGCACTTAAAAGTGCGCTGAGAGTTCTCTTTGTTAGTAGAACGTATTTTGGGAAAAGCAAATTTAGATGACAAACATTTTACAATTTTTAGGTTAGAAATGGGAAATAACTAAATGAAAAAGGAGACTTGCAGGGGATATTAGAATATGCACGTAAAATTTCATTTACACGAATCAGCTGGCCTAGAATAAAATTGCCAAATGCCTGTAGAGCATTCTCCAACCAAAGTTAAAGAAAAAATTAATACTATACGCATGTAACAAGAAACGTTATCTTTACAAGAACGTAGTAACGAGATTAGCGGTGTTTAATAATCTTCACCTAGCTATGAGAAAATTAGTAACGACACTAACGATTAGTAGTACTTCAATATGAAGACTAGTTGCCTTCTTATCCTTTTATCATTGCGTATCCAATGTTAAGCATCCAAACACTTTATTCACCAATTTCTGAGTGCATGCTGAGGAGAAATGGGGATAGATACATGTGAAACGACGCGGGAAGGAATAGGTAATTTCTTTGCCAGTAGAACATCAACAAGGCTGTTGGAAAAACGCCTAATAGAGGGCGTTGTACCGTGCCTTTTTCTTCAGTGTAGATTTAGAATTTGAACTGTAATGAGATGTGCTTAATTCTGAATTAAAATGTTTATAAGGGAGTCGCCGGCTCAAACAATTAGCGGTGAAAAGAATATTATGCTCCATTTCATTAAATTGTAAATAAATTTAGTTGTTATGTTTTAAACTGAACCTTTTATCGCCTATCACATACAAATCTAAACCACTGAGAGAAATTAAATTGAGGTTTGATAATAGTTACAAGTTTGGATTAGTTTGTTTCAAAAAGGCAGTTCAAAAACCGGTTTCAAATTTGGCCGATGTCGGTTCTATATTAGTGTCAGTCCTGTGTTAGTGTCGAACCTATGCATTCTTAAAAAAATAATAATTTAATCACATTTTTTCATCTTGATTATTAATTATATTATATCGTTGCTAATTATGATCCTTGGGTAAATTATGCAAAGCCCACTGAACGCCATTGTTGTTGCTGTGCCCTGTCGATGCTATGACAGTGTTGACCTTATGCAGTGTCGTTTGTATGCTTGTGACAACACTGTGAAGATGAGAAATGTACATATATCCTCTTATTTATTATCATATCATTATCAACTTTTCTTTTTAATGTGTCGACGGTATGCTGATAACTAATGTCTGTTGTACTGCGGTATAGATCTTGTGTCCTTGTTTTTCTGTGCTGTGTCGGTCATACGTAGTGTCGATCCTATGCAATGTCGTTCTCCGCGTGTTAGTCCTGTGAATGTAACCCATACTGATGTCGTGTCGAGTGGCTCCGCAACACTTCCAGAAACTAGCTTTCAAATCAATAAAATCATTGATGTTCAATTTCTATTAAATCATAAGATATGCATTTCCTTGCATTTCTTTGTAGGAAATGTTTTGCCCATTTTTGCCCATATTACATATTCACAATTGACGATTTCATTCTGATCGCTCTCTCTTTCTATATATATATAATCTAGTAGATAATTTTATATATTATCTCCTTGAAAAACGTAGTTAGTATTTCATTGAAATGAATTTACTCACTAGCATATTTAAAATGGAGTTATTAAAAAGGAATAATTAAAAGCGAAAATGCAACCAATACGTAATTACGTAACT